TTCGTTTTCCCCCCTGTTGCGGGTTGGTGGCCTTCCCCTCACCATGATGCCTTTGTGTCTCGACGATTCGTTGCGTTCGCTTCGATGAATTCACTTCTGCGCTGCGCACTTTTTCGTATGGTTTTTTATTTTTTGATTTTGCTAGGGGAAGTTCTTTTTCTATTTTTTGATTTTCTTGAATTTTACAATTGCTTTTGTTGGATTTGTATGCCGAAATTTCTTTTAGATATTTTGATGCTACTTTTAGGTATTCTGATTGCTTTTAGTGTTTTAATTTCGTAATCTTTTTTGAGGGAGAAGAGAGAAATTTTCTACTTTGTATCTCGTTAACTCTGCGCTCTGCTACCACTTTTGTGGTGCATCGACCACAAAGACGAACAAATTTGATGATGAATTAGGCTGAAAGGTAAAATTGATATGAATAAAACACGTACGCCGCCGGGGACTCGGCAGGGAGCCTTTCGGTGAGGTCTCCAAAAGAAAAGCGATTTTAGATATATTTCAGAACAAATAATCAACACTGATAAAAATGAGATGTTTGCACTGGCTGAAAGGTAAAATTGATATGAATAAAACACGTACGCCGCCGGGGACTCGGCAGGGAGCCTTTCGGTGAGGTCTCCAAAAGAAAAGCGGTTCGAAATATATTTCAGAACAAATAATCAACACTGATAAAATGAGATGTTTGCACTTCGCGAGGTGAATTGAGACTGTAATGCAAATTAGTGTGTATGGGAAAATGGCGAGACGATTGGAATTCCACGCTGGAATTCCAACGTGGAGTTTTTCTGCGGGCGACGGACGGGAGAGGCGGCTTGCGCCACCTATCCCTTACAGCAGTCATTGCATTTAGAATTTTGAGGTGCTGTTTGAGGATTTTGCAATGTTGATGGGTTCATCACGGCCAAAATCATAATTTTTCTTCAGATGTCATGGGATTTTGTCTACCTTCGATTTTGTGAGGATCAAATGGGTTACAAAACAAAGAATTTCTTAAATTTAGTAAAACTTTCTCATCGAGAAACATGAATTAATTCACGGCAAGAAGTTCTTGTTGTGCATGAATCAATATTGCAGGTATTGGTTCATGCTGAAAAGTATTAAACATCAAATGAAACTTGCGCAAAATGCAATTACGACTGGACAATATTAGCGACATTAATCATAAATTTAAAATTAACTTATCCTGTATTTTTTAATTCAGCAAATCATCAAAATCCCTAAAAAAATTGACGATGAAACAAATTTCGGAAATGATTCAAGTCCGGTTGACAGAAACAGCGAAGAACAGATTACATATTACTCAACAGTCTTTAGTTTTCTGTCACTGAGCAAGGTCAAATTTTGACTCTGATGACAGAAGAAGCACATATTGTATCCAATTAAAAGGAAAGACTATTTGATTACATATTTGATTTATCTGTCGAGAAAGAAATCAGATTTCCCTATCACAGACGTTCTTTTATTCTCAAATACATTCAATCACGCATCTCTCCGCTTAATATTTTTTTCATCATCCTTTCAACGCTTGATCATAGAAGGTTAGAAATAGAAAATTCAAAAATATATTTTGAGGTAATAAATTTTAATACAAGCTTCCTGAACTCATCTAGCATCATTCAAACCCAATGGCATCACAAGAAAATCGGAAGTCTACTCGTAACAAATCAAGTATCCAAGCGTGGTGCATTAAATGCTTTTCGGAAATGATCGCGTTGAACTTTGTTCACCGTGTTGTTATTCTGATGATTGAAACTGAAACTGTGTCTAAATTATAATTTACAATTTATCTCCTCGAAGATTCTGTCGATCGTTACGGATTTTTCGCCTGGATTCGGAATTGATGACCCACGTTGTGCCGAAGATGTTACATCTTGGTGTCGCGAATTCGCCCCCGAAACGCAGGTGGCAATTTTGCGCGTTTTCTACGAAGTCGGCGACGAAACAATGCCACAAATTCAAGTCGTTAATTTTGCACCGAATTTGCTGAAATCTGAAAACTATTATGATGCTTCAGTTCCAGACCAGCGCGGAAAACCCCTTTCACGCAGAAACGTGAGTGTTTTGTTCATTATGAACGTTAATTATAAGTGAGCCGTGTTTCCAGGGACTTGATTGCATGCAAAATTACAAATTTTCGATGGCTTTTTTTGTTTGTTTGTGACTGGTTAACGCGATATCGTGATCCACCTTTTGGCAAAGGTCGGGGTTATGTTTTCAAGTATTAAAAAACTTATGATTTTCTGTGTCGACGTCAAGTCGCGTTCATTGATCGGAAATTTTCGAATTAGGAGTTTTTAAAAATTTTTTATCTCAAAATATATTTTTGAATTTTCTATTTCTAACCTTCTATGATCAAGCGTTGAAAGGATGATGAAAAAAATATTAAGCGGAGAGATGCGTGATTGAATGTATTTGAGAATAAAAGAACGTCTGTGATAGTGGATTTGGGTTGGGTGGGAAGGGGTTTGGTTGTGGAAATCTTGATTGAACCTTGTGAACGCTGAGAAGCGGCAAATAAAGTGTTATGTTCAATCATTCATTCAACTTGATAGCTTTATGAATCACACACGAATTCCCTCGCCAAATTCAACGAATGGCTGAATCGGAAAGCGCAGTCAGGCGAGGAAATCACAATATTGGGGATGCAAACGGTTCTCCAGCCGACCAGAGCCATTTCCGCCTTAACATCCACGTCCTGGGAACATTTGGATGCCGAAGAAACCATCTTCCCGTCCAATCTGTGCAAGAAAACTTTGGAATCGGTCAAAATGTTGCGGGTATTTTACTCGGGATCCGTAAGCGATGATTCCCTTTCGGGAGACTCCCGCAATAACCCGCGGGTCTCTTGTCGGTCATTTTTCCCCGAAAACCCGCGCGAGGATCTCAGCTACGAACTTTGGCAAAGGGCGACGAGTTTTGCCAGAGATAAGCAGCTGAAAGCCGGCTTTCTGAGGCTGGAGACAGTCAAGACAGTCGTGTCTACGCCGGAAGCAACTTTGCCGATGGATTATGGCTCGGCGAGTTTGTGCTTTGACAAGACGGCGAATACTTTTTGGGTCACCGGGTTCGTGTTGTACTTTTATTCGCTCGGGGGCCGGGAGGACTCGTTGGGTTCCGTTGCCAGCGGCGGTGAGGAAATCGATGTTGAGCAGTGCGTTTCTGACAAGAAACCCCAGCAGCACAGGAAAAGGTTCAGTGGACGCTGCATCGTTGCCTGAAATGTTCTCCTTTTTTTTAAATATAAATGAAAAATATTTTCTCTTACTTTACCACCGGTTCTCGTCGAAATATTGAATTTTCTCAAATAGGTAGGAGAACAGTGGAACAAGATGGTAGCCAACGAATACAACCGCCTTTGAACTTCCTGATCATCGACGTTTCGCTTTTTTCCTCTTCGACAGCATACCTTTGCTCAACTTTAAAAAGTTATTTTTGCATAATTCGAAGTTTTTATACGTCGTTTTTGATGCACGGCTATTCAGCCTACATCGCATGCTGACCCCAAGTCCATAATGAATGACCTGACATCCAAAGTACTTCAATTTAAAGATTCTCGGCTGGATTTCTGAAATTTTAAGGCAGCCAGAAGAGCGAATCCCATAACGATCTTTATGAGAACCCAGGATTCTGAAGTATAAGTTTATAAATCTCAAACTGAGCTGGATGCAAATTAGATGAGGCTGAAATGAGTTACGTGCGTTATAATAGATTAATCATTTTTTGATGTTCATGAAGGTTAGGTGAGATTACATAGGTTTAACGTGATTAGTCCACTCAACTTTAATTTGTAAGGTGTATTCTACTTTCTTCCTCTTCTGGCGCAAGCTTGAATGTAAATTTATCGACAACACTAATGACTAGGCATCAGCATTCTTACAGCGACGGCATTTTTATGAAGCATTGTTTTTTTTTTATGCCAGAAATGCAATTTGGTACAAAATTCCATTGAAGGCAGCGTAAATTGAAGTGAAGGGACAACAATATCTCTGAGTACTGCAAATGAAGTTAATTCCAAGAATCTGTTTGAGAAGACAGTATTTTTCCGTGGCTTTTTACATTTTCTGTGCATGGAATTCTCTTGAAAATTTTGGAAAATGGAATGTAAATTTCCGTCTTTCCTGAATACAGTACTTTGATTGATTGTAAAGCAGGAAAAACTAACTCAGTCGGGACCGATTTTGTTTTTATTCCGACTACTTAATTAGCTCTGAATTAATCACGAAATTACCCAAGTTCCGTGAGGTGAACTTTTGACGAATAGTTTTGATTGTCCAACTCTCGTTGATGCAGTTGTGGCAGTTGAGTGAGTTTGTAGCCTGATGATCTGTCTCTTTCCGAAGTGCCACTTCCTGTGTTCGAAAGAAACCGCAGCTTATTAAATGTATAACTCTCTAAAACAAAATTTAAGGGGGCCAGAAAAAAAATCGTTGTAGAAATAATGTTTTTGTTGAGAACCGCTGCAACATATAGGGAGAGAACCTATGGGGCCGGAAAAATTCTCATAGACTCATAGCTGTATATTTATGCATTTGTAAGTGGTTTCTTTCTAACAAATGAAGTGGCACTTCTGAAGAGACAGTTAATCAGACTACACATTTTATAAATATACAGAATTTTCAGAAGATACAATTGAACCTCAATAACGCGGACCTCTCTAAGTTGAATAACTCTTCATGTCAATTTTTCCCTGTCCCTGCTTGAATTACCATAGAAACATTGCATTAAAAAGTAACTAACTCAAAGGCTTTCCTCATTTAACCTCCTGGACTTCAGCTTCCTGCATGGAGGCCTTTTGTTTACTATTTTATTTCCACAGGAAAGAGAAAATTGATGAAAATGTATCTTATTGATCTGTTCTGCAAGGAATGGAAGACTTAATTGGGAAAATTAATCCTTGCCTCAAAGTTCAGCATTCTGTCAATTCATTTAAGAAGCATTGACGGACCAGCATATCAAAATGACAATTTTCTGTGATTCTTTTTTTAAAACCAAAATTCTTGTTTCCCAAATTTGAACTTTTTCACAGGTCCCTTATGAAGCTTGAGCTGAAACTGTTTGACTGTGCATATGTGTATATACTTGGTATATTGTTCCCTATACAGTGAGACCCCCACATTCAGACACCTTAACCTGTGGACAATTCAACATAGGGACACTTATTTTCCCAGAAAAAAATTAATAAAAAAGGCCTGACAGGAGGACACCGATTCCACGTAGGGACATTTTCTGATAAAATTGCAAATACATTTCAGACCAAATTACAAGAAACAGATATTTTCAACCCTAAAATTGATGTGAGAAAAGTTCTTGGGCATTTCTCTCACCAATTTACCATCCATTTTGCTAATTTTAAAAAATTACCTCCAGCATAGAGGGAATTCTACTTTTTTTGCTTGAATTTTATTTTTGTAGATGCCAACATTTCAATGTACAGTACAGAGATACACTATTCAATGCTCAAAATGTTCTTATTGAGTTGAAAATGTATTCACTAATTCAAATTCAATTGGCAAACAATTTTTTTCAGGGAATTCTGAAGAATATTTCTTCCATAAAACAGCAATTAAAAATTATGCGATGTAAGTCTATGGGAAAACAAGACTCAACTTGGGTACATTTCAACTTAGGGACACTCTTGATGCACCAATTATGTCCGTATTGTGGGGTCTCACTGTGTTCAGATCCCAGAATATTTTCCAAGAAAAATTCTCTCAAACCCAGAGATACTTACAGTTTCTGACAGTTCACATTTGATGAACATCCAAAGAGCCTCTCCGGGTCACACGAGTGCTTGCTGAAGAAAAAAAAAACCCCATGGAAAGTACGGAATTGAAAGAAACGCCTGTCTGAATAATATGATCATTGTGTGACCTTATCTTCTCGGTCATGGTCGCTGGTCCATCATGGCCGCCCCAGAAGAAAAAAAAAAACAATGCTCTCCCACGGAATGATACCGACCACCGCGACCAACTGTAATCATGCTATATAGCGACGTTGGCGTGCCTGCAAATGCCGGATGATGATGACGCCGCCAAAAAAATGAATAAATAAATAAAATAAAGGGAACAAGAACGGAAGTAGCTTTTTTCTACACACAAATTCCAGTGCTGTGTCATGTTTAATTCAAACTTGGTTGGCGGGGGAAAAACGGGAAAGAGACGCGAAGGAGCAGCATGATGGCGAATGACGCATCCGCGAGTGCGCGAGTCAACGTGGGCGGAACGATACGTTGGTTGGGCGAGAAAATTATAGACCTTCGCCTCGCTGAAAAGTTTTTCCTCCATGCATGAGAAAAACAACCGACGCAGTTCCGTCGATATATGCCGTGAAGTTCCAAGATCCGACGAATCTGTGTTTGTAGCACAATTGAGTGCTTGGGATATATCTGCTACATATAAGGGAGATTGCTTATATATAGCACCTTTTACTGGGTAAAGATGCAGCAATCATCATATTCTGTGCCCCTTTTCTATCGGGAAGCAGAATGAGGAAATCGGGCGTCTTTTTGAATCGAAAAAATTTAATCTCCAAACAGTTTTTCTCTCACGAATCACACGAATTCACCTTCCTCTTTTTTTCGAACTTTCATTCACTCAGAATATGGGCATAACCATTCTTTTATGACTTTGGTCGTTACTTTCATATCAAACCCATTATATCTGTGTATTTTTTTATCCGATGCAAAATAAAGAAATCGATTCCATATATGACAAATCGCACAGTTGTTTACTTTATTTTTATAAATCGAAGCTCAGGAAAATTTGAATAATTTCTGCATGCGCCTAGATTCGCTTTCATCCAAACCTGAGAGATTTTTTTACTTTTCAAAACTTAACGCATGGCACTCAGAAAAATAAAAAATTAAACAAATCCGTGTGAATCTAGAACATTTCCATGCTCGTCATTCAATTCTTTAGTCGAAATTGTGTGGAAATTAATGTGCTTTTCCAGTATGAGATTGCTGTATATTCTGCCCAATCTAGCAATTTGACGATTGCAAAACTTCGAAGAGTTTCGATGCACTTGAGAGACTAAAAAGTGAGTGTTCATCTCTGAAGACTTTCATGCAGTTGAATGCAGTTTTTCACTTGAAATTGTACATTACAGCCATAAGTTATCCCTTCTCAGGATCCCGTGCAGAAAATCCGAGTTTCGGAATTGGAAAACCAACAAACAATCACAGCTTTTAAATTGCAGCAAGACTCGGATTGGATTATTCGGGATTAATTTTTGTTGTGCTAAAATATTGGCTGCACTTAGAATATCTTGGAGTGATTGTGTTAAACATATCAAATCAGTTATATCAATGCAAGGAGCCTCAGAGGATGCAGACTCAATTATTTTTCAAACTGAAACCATTCATTGGATTATCTGCACGTATGTTGAATCCTCTTTTCTCGTGGATGACATTTTTAGTTACTTTTCATGTTTGGGAAACATTAAAAAAATTCGTCCAAATTTTTCACCGAAAGGTTTATCTTTACTTGAAATTCAGAAAATAACTTTGCAGAAGAAAATCACGNATTATCTGCACGTATGTTGAATCCTCTTTTCTCGTGGATGACATTTTTAGTTACTTTTCATGTTTGGGAAACATTAAAAAAATTCGTCCAAATTTTTCACCGAAAGGTTTATCTTTACTTGAAATTCAGAAAATAACTTTGCAGAAGAAAATCACGAAGGAATGTGCTGTTTTTTTTAGCACGAGAAAGGGATTCAATAATGAAGAAAAAACGCTTCCAAACACACAAAAATGCACATATCTGCATACTGTTTTTCTCTACAGTACTGAAAACAGTTCAGGTTCATGGAAGCCCTTTAAAACAATGAGCGTTCAATTGCACGTTTTGAACAAAATTGGAGTGGATTTTTGATGAGAATTACAGCAACTTCAGGGTCATAGCAATCGCTCAATCAGCTAAAGAAATCTATAAAAGTTCGAAGAAGTTTTAAAAATTCCTGAAACATTTGCCGTAGGGTTCAGATTTTGAGAAATTGGTCGAATGTCCGGGCTGCTTATTCGTTGAGTACAAAATATTCGTGAAGGAAATTTTGCACTCGGTGAGATTCATACATTTCTATGCTGAGACGATTCCAAAGGTCCGCTAATTTCTCCTTTTAAAAATATTAAACTTGATACATGCGTTTTGTGCTTATTATACAGAATTAAAGGTTCGTTTTTCCTGCTGGTGAAATAAGTGCAAGATATTCATGAAATCAAAATTCTG